TGCGGGGTTCGAAAGTTTAAGAGAGAGAGAGAGAGAGAGAGAGAGAGAGAGAGAGAGAGAGAGAGAGAGAGAGAGAGATCGAAGGCTCCGGGGCAAAATCGTGCGTTGCAGGACGATAAAGGAGTGTGCCAGAGGAGAGAAGAAGAAGACTTTGGAAGAGAGGGCTAGAGATTACGTGGAAATGGCCGATGAAGGTGAGTCCATCTTCTTTGTTTTTTTTCGGTTTTTTTGGGCGGGGGGGGTTGGGGTGGGGGAGAGAGGGAAGGAACTGTGTCAAAATGGCTGATTGAGGTAATTCGATCGCATTTTTTTATTTATTTTTCTCCCTTACTATCTTTAAGTGAATAGCGCGTCTCGTGTAACGCTCCCGCGAGACCCGTCTGCCACTGTTGGGAAACGCGGTGGGACTGGTGGTGTCGGGCCCAAGGGAGGTCGTTGGGAGGGGAGGACGGGGGAGGGGAAGCGGGGAGAGGGCGAATGGATATGGCCAGCGCGCAGATCGAGGGGGGAGACAGTGGGGAGGGGGGCGAATGGATATGACGGCGGGGAAGCGAGGACGGGTCGAGGTGAGAGGAGTGAGATGCAGTGACGAATGGTATTATGCAAAATATTATACACGAATCATGACATAGATGACACGTCGGGATGACACATCAATAGGCATGATCTCACACCAAAATCAGTGTACATTTACACCAAAAATCAGTGTACAATTCGAAAGAATTGATGAAAATAGTACGTTAAGCACGCCGCCACTCATTCCGCTACACCCCGTGGTCCGCCTTACACGTCCAACCCAACCAACACTACTGAAAACCGATAGCGCACAGAGAGGACTATTACAACGCAACCATTCTCTATATACCCAGTCAACACAGTTCGTACCTACAGGAAAACATTCCTTCTCTGAGCCAAATCACTCCGCAAAACCAGTCCCGAGCTCGAAGGGACCAGTGAAAACAAATAACGTCCCTAGGCCCAAGGGTACGACCAATGCCAAAAAACGGCCAAGCGGAGGGCCAAGAAATTAGATCAAGGCTAGGTACCAAAGCTACCGGGCCTACATTGGACCAAAATACTTCAATTGAACCAGGCCCAAAAAGGTTACTCCTATTCAGAGCCAAAACCAAGCCAAAGCAAAGCACGCCGGACCAGGCTCAAGGGGCCGACTCCTACTGAAAAACGATCAAGGCTACTTCTTTCCAGAGCTAAAAACCAAGCCAAAGCAAAGCACGCCGCACCTAGGCTCAAGGATCCGACTCCCTACTGCCAAAACATACCACGAAGACCCTGTCACTCAATTAGACAACCTGTCAACTATCTTCGTCAAGTGGCACAACATCCTAACGAGCTGAAGAAACCAGGGAACAGGTCCATTGCCAAAGCTCATCCCGGCCATGCAAAAAACTTTTTAGAACTCGATTGAAAAAATTTTCCAGAACAATTTCAACTGCAGTTCCTTCTTCAATGTAATCACTCTCCTGGGTATCTCAGACCGCACAGTGGTATTCCTGTCAATCCGGTGGAGATGACTTGCCACAACGACACTTTTTTGAGCCTTGCTTCCCCATGAGTTAAAGGTCTCGCCATTCAAGAATTCGAGTTTCTCAAATGTCCAAATAGTCGCCTCATTTTTTGACAACTGCACACTTTCCACGAAAGGGGGTTCATTGTGTATCTGTACTTCACAACCCAGGAAATCCCACAAGTTGTTCCCAGTATCAGTTCGTTCGAGTGTCAAATTCTCCGGGTAACATGTCTCAAAGTCATGGAAGCTCTTTTTTGCAACATCACAGTCTCCCTTACTGCCGATAATCAAACCCACATCGTCGATCAATCGTAAACCAAAAACATTAGCCCGTGCTCTCCCTAAACTATTAAGAAAATCAAATTATGCTTTGGCGCACATGATACATGCCAAGGGTGGTCTGGTACTCTTTCCCATTGGTATGCCCAACTCCTGTTTGACCAATACAGAAAGAGCAAAGGTAAAAGTATGAGACAACTCAAACTTGACAAAACGTCGAATATCCGTGAAATCCAACCTTCTCCAATGATCATAACCAGTACTCAAGCCAAAGGAGGCACCTTTGCCACGAGTGTTCACTCTCACAAAATTCCTCCTCTTTGAGGCGTGGTAATCCAATAACCATTTCGTCGCTCTGATTATGTCAGCATGCGGAAGCAGACTGAACATATCTTTCACGTCATAAGACCGCGATACAACATCAACGGCCTCGATCCTATGCATCTGCCTATTACACTTCTCCAGTGATGGCGTCAGCAGTGAAACGAGCCACTGCTTTGCTTGTTCTTGCTGTAGGTTCCATGAAAGAGGGACAGATTGGTCGAAATCGATCGGGATCCTTATGCTTGGGCATCGCATAAGCTGGACCAAAGGTCCCTTTCTTATCCCAACGCGCGAATTCCTGGATACCGTCAATCTTCAGATCATTATGCATACTTACCAACACATCCCCGACGTCCCTTGGGATGATCGAGTAACCACCATTTCGGATAAATAGTCCCATCATTCCTTCATAATATAATCGAGGACACATCACCATAGTTACACCCGGGTTCCTGTCAAGTAGCGTCAAAACCAGCCCTTCGAACTTCTTCTTCCAAACACGGACTTCCTCCAAACACATCATGTTGTTATCAACAACCAATCCCCCTTGCACACATGATCCTAACTCCTCAAGATAACAGCAAGTTCGAATTCCTTTGCTGTTAGGCCAAGCATGGAAAGCTTCCTCAATTTATCATTAACCAATTCCCGAACCTTCGAAAGTCTTAACTCGATTGTCGTACAACAGACGCACCACAATTCTTGTCAAAAAATTAAAACCGAAACAATCACGCACACATCTAGCTATCCGGCGTCGCAAATAGGTTCTGGTACCTTTCTTCTCAAAGGTTTTTGCGAAAGTAAACAAACGAGACAACGAGTGTAGGTCCCACTTTTTTAAAGATTCAAATCTCTTGGGGTTCTTTAACAAAGAGATCAAGAAAGGCTTATCAGTACCGATACGTGGCGTCCATCTTCGTAGGTAGATAAAATGGACAACGCACCCTTGCTCGTATTCGGCACGAAAATCCTTAAAACGGCCCAACACATCGTTAACTCGAACAGAAGACGTACAAAGGCTTTACACAGCTTCTTCCAACGGTCAAACCAAAGATTCCCAGAATCAACAAATAGACTGAATTCCCTAGTTCCTTTTTCGTCAAGTTGGCGCAGACATTCAAAAACTTGTACTGTAGGTTCATCACCCAAAACGGTCCTTACCCGAATAGGACAAACAACGAGCAGTTCTCGACCACGAGTTACCTCCACAAGCCGTTCACGCTCACGTTTTCCTAAACGATTGTTGCGTTTCTTCGAAATAACAACGCGTTCGGCAGTATTCAAATACGGGGCCCATCTCTTAATAAAAGACGACTCAATGGCAGGTAAGTCATTCACAGGACCAGACTCGACAGGTATAAGTACGTAAGATTCGATCCCAAAACTCTTCCACCAACGGTACAGATGAGACGATTTTGCACTTCGTTTTGAAACCGAAACATGCTCATTCCATCTTGTGTTGGGTTCCCTCGAAGTCTGTCCAACATATTGTGATTTACACAACACCAAGGTGACTACATACACACAACCTCGATGACTCAGAAAATTAACACCATGACGTTTAAACATACCCAGCCATGAATCAATACACTTGCTGAGCCATCGAATCTGCCCACGCAAGGCAAGATAAACTACCAACAATCGAAAAAACAACTCAACATCTGGATAGGTACAACCGAATTCACGCCGATAGCCAATCATCACGTCGCAAATCGTTCCCCAATACTCAACAGATCGCCTTTTTCAGTTGGCCGGCTCCTCATTGGAATTCTCAGGACTAGACTTCACATTATCATCCCAAGCTTCATCTTCCCCCACCTCTCGCTTACCTTCATCGAATCTGACACGAGCTCTTGCATCCGCGATATCAAAAATCGCCTGAACTTTAGCAACGAATCCAACGCCAACTTCACGGCAAAAAACTCGTAATTGGTCGCAATTGCAGAGCGCAAGTTCACGTCGAGTACGGTCCAAGTAAATCATTCGCTCCATTGCCATATCTCGTGCAGGTGGTTTAATAACAGTCTGTGCTTTGTTGAGCGCACGACCACCCTTCTTAGCGATGCGTGTGCGAGTTCGCTGCAGGCGTTCGGAGAACCGGAGAGGCCGAACCGTAGTGCGCTTGTTCGCACGCTTGGCTGGAGTCGTCACATGAGGGTTATTACCCACAGGAGTCTCTTCACCTCTCTTCCGCTTCTCACTAATCGCCAACCGCTCGGTACCTTCAGTGATCACTTCGACGTCATTATTGCCGGCTCCCGATCCCGAGGTTGACGACAATTGTTCCACCACCTTGGCTTTCCCCTTCTCGACTTCGCCGACAACTCTCCGGATTTCATTTCGAAGATCGTCTCGGATATTGCCGATACGAAGAGCCAGTTGCATTTCAACGGCCTTCGTCAATTCCAACTGCTCTTCTTCCCGCTTTCTCAACTTCTCCACTTTCTTACCGGCCTTAGCCGCTTCGGCTTTACGCTCTTCTTCTTCACGAAGCCTTGCTTCTTCCTTATCATGTCGTTTCTTCTCTTTCTCGCTCCGTCGTGCCATCTCCAGGTCCACGAATTCATGCAAGGTAGCAATGCTTTGGCCCAACTCTGCAAGTCGAGATGAAGTCTGCGAATCAATAGATGGTGATCGCCGGATCCCAGTTCCCGTAGCTCGACGTGGTGACACTGACCGTCCTCGACGGTCAAACTCAGGCGGGCAAACATACCCGTCGGATTCAGCTTGCCTTCTTGACAAAGAATCAGCCCCAAACCTCCAACAGTCGCTCCGATAGTGTCCAGGCACTTTACACCCGTAGCATATCGGAGACGGTCTACGAGGCGGTTCATTACCGGCCAACTCCGGTCGATAAGCCCGATGGTCCCGGTCAACCTCACGTGGTCTCTCCCGGCTTGACTCTGGACGTCCGCGCCATCCGCCATCGTAAGACCGATCACGCCGGTCATCACGGTCATGTCTACTATCACCACCGCTCATGTCCACTTCCTCGGTCGGTGAATAACAGATTCAAAAACTCGGTCGAATATCAACTCCAAATGATATCTTCACTTCTGGGACAATAACCAGGTCCTCGAAAACTCCACCAAGTACCTCAGTAACCGAAGAAACGTGCTCACTCACTCCCAGACAGATATCTCGGGCAGGTTCACACGCGCAACAACAGGTATTATGCAAAATATTATACACGAATCATGACACAGATGACATGTCGGGATGACACATCAATAGGCATGATCAAATGCGCAGCGGTCTGGATGAAGTACAAAAGGGCATGGGGGGAAGGGAGGAAGAGACTGTCGAAATGGCTGATCAGTTTTTTTTTTTCCTTCTTTGATTTTTTTTTTTTTTTTTACCGAGGCAATTGGCCCGCC